CTCTCCCATTCTGATTGAAGGTTGCATCCATAGGAACAATCCACCCATCCTGGCTTTTCCCTGGTCTAGTCCACAAAGGTGTTGTAGCCCTGCTTAGTCTGATCTGCCCCCATCCCAGTTCATGCTCTCCAGTGGGAGTAGCTGTCCAGCAGGGGAACCACCCCTTATTCCCCCGCTGGCTCTGTCCCCTCCCTTCCTGTTTCTCACGTGTGCTGGATGGGCACTGCAGTCACATCCGGCACAGTCAACCTCATCCTGGCATTCTGTAGTGTGGACTGGTTTTTATCGCAACCAAACCTGCTCAACCCTTACTCTGTTCTGGTGCTCAGATTTGCCAGTGATGACGTTAACTGGTTAGCCTGGTCGGCCCCCAATCCATGCCTAATGTATGCCAGTGGGAAACTTCTTGTGGCCTGCTCTGGGCTGTTTCCATTCATGCTTCTTGCGCTTACCTGTGGGGTCTGTGTCCTGCCAGAGGAGTTGCCCAGGCTCCTCCATCAGAACCTGTCCCAGTGCCGGATTTTGCGCATGCCAGTGGGTCCATGAGCCAGCCCTACTCAGTTCCTGACTAGCTTTCGACCCAAGCTGGTTCTTGTTGTTGGATATTTCAGCCCAGCCATGGCTCGTCCAGTCCATTCCCACATACGGCTCACACATGGTTCAGTAGGGGTTGCAACCTAGCCTAGTCCGTCCCATGTCTATCCTGTTCCTCCAGGAGCACCAGACAGTGCTGGGGTCTGGTCCAGCCTGGTGCGTCCAGTCCCAGTCCACACTTGTGCCAAGGGGTATTTCACTGTTACCTGATCAGAACGCAGCCCCCATTCCAGCCCACGTGCTCCTTGGCAGTAGCCTTAATCCAGTTAGTGTGTCTACTGGACAAGACCCGTGCCAAAGCTTTAGCATGAACTGGTATTTGGTGGTCAGCATTGCTAAGTGGTAACACATTCTTAAAAGGAAGAGTAAGTGTCATTGGGAAACTTTAGGATGTATTCACCTCGCAGAAACACATCGGGTTCAACATGGAGCCACATAAGCAGCAATTCAAACCACCAAAATCCCAGCGCTCCCCTGTCAGGCGGCCAGCAGGAAAAGCCTGGCACCAACTGGTGCCCTGGCTGCCCAAGCCCGGTTCACCATGTGCCCATGATGGCGGGCGTATGGGATCCGGGCATGAGACACCCTGTCCCAGGACCCACCCGCTGCCGAGAGGCGACGGGAAGTGTCTAATTCTTTATTTTTAAAATTTAAGTTTTTTTTTTTTTAATTGTAAGATATACAGAGAGGAGGGGAGAGAGAGAGGAAAATCTTTTCTCTGCAGGTTTATTCCACAAGTAGCCACAAAGGTCCGGATTTGAGCCGATCTGAAGCCAGAAACCTGGATCCTCTTCCGGGTCTCCCATGTGGGTGAAGGTTCCCAAGGCTTTGGGCCATCTCCAACTGTTTTCCCAGGCCACAAGCAGGGTGCTGGATGGGAAGTGGAACTTCTGGGATACGAATTGGCACCCATATGGGTTCTCAGCATGCACAAAGCAAGGATTCAACAATTAGGCCACTGTGCGGGGCCTTATTTATTTTTTTATTTTTTATGATACAATTCCATAGGCAGAGCAATTGCTCCTTCTTCTTCCGCAGTTCCCTTTCCCCCACTGTTTTCCCTTCTATTATTACAATAGTATAATCTTTCAACAATAGTCACAAGTCCATCATTCTGCTATTGAAGTGTATCCTGACATTGTAGGTGCAGACAACAGCAGAGTCCAGTAACCTATTATTAAAATATATATATAACAGTTTCTTTGGGAATTCATCTTTGATTTGGAAGTAGAGATGCATACTACATTTTATGTTTACTTCTCAGTATGCTAATCTCTATTATATAGTTCCTCTAGATGAATACATGTACACATATGTTTATCTATATATCGACTGATCTTGTATTTTGCATGAAATTCGTCTCACGTCAGAGAGAACATGGTATTTGTGCTTTAGGGATTGAAATAGCCAATTTTTTTTAAAATTGGAAAGTCAAATATACAGAGGGCAGGAGACAGAAAGGAAAATCTTTCTTCCATTGTTTCAATCCCCAAGCAGCCGTAATGGCTGGAGCTGCGCTGATCCAAAGCCAGGAGCCTGAGGCTTCCTCTGGTCTCCCACATGGGTGTTGGGTTCTAAGGCTTTGGGCTGTTCTTGACTGCTTTCCCAGGACACAAGCAGGGAGCTGGAAGGGAAGATGGGCCACTGGGACATGAACTGGAGCCCATATGGGATCCTGGTGCATGCAAGGCAGGGACGTTAGCCACTAGGCTACTGCGCTGGGCCCAGCCATGATTCCCAATCCCGATAATAATGCTTTATCTTGAAATCAATCCTAAAATTATTACGGATTCATGGGTGGGTTTCCAGGTCTCTCAGATATGTTTTGAGGTACTGATGCGGTCTATCTCGGGTAATGGTGGGTGATGATTCAAGCTAAACAATAGTTTCCTCTTGAATAATTAAACTCCACTTGTGATGTCCAGATCCCATCTCAGAGTGCCAGTTGAATTCCCACCTGGTTCACTTCTGACCCAACTTCCTACTGATATGTCCAGATGGCTGAAGTCCTGAGGAAGAGTTGGATGAAGTTCCCGGCTCCCGGTTTTGACCTGTTGCAGACCCAGCTGTTATCTGGGGAGTGAACCAGCCTACAGAACATCTCTGTGTCTCCCTTTCTCTCTGTGGCTCACTTTTCAAATACATAATTAAAAAGCAATAATCTTAAAAAAGTTAAAGCAGTGGTAAAATTTAAAGTTCAATTTAATGAGCTTAGTTACAGTGTTTCTGGGCCTGACATTGCGGCTAAACAGGTAAAGCTGCCAGCTGCGACAGCAGAACCCCATATAGGCACCACCAGTTGGACCCAGCTGCTCCTCTTCCCATCCAGCTGCCTGCTGCTGTCTCTGGATGGCAGCGGAAGGTGGCCCAAGTTGCCTGGGCTCCTGCACCCACGGGGGAGGTTTGGGAAAAGCTCCCCACTCCTGGCTTCAGCGTGATCCAGTTCCAGCCAGTGTGGCCATTTGGGGGCGCCAACTAGCGGATGACGGCACACTCTCCGTAGCTCTGATTTTCACGGTGCAGTTCAGTGTTGTGCACATGACTTATCATTACATGAGGGGAAGATGACTGCAGGGAGAGGGGAGGTCTGAGGCAAGGACAGGGGTGAAAAGCTTGGCTCTTGGGAGGCCCGAGGTGAAGGTCCCCAGCAGCTGTTCAAAAAACCCTCAGCAAGAATCTGAATGCGCAGCAGCAGGTGCTGGGCTTGAGTAGTTTGACATTTATCACGGAGTGGGGCAGAGTTAGGGAGAGTGCCAGGTTACACTTGGTCAAATCCCCAGGGCTGTATAGGGGGAGGGTTCCTGTCCAGCTCCGGTAGGTAGGTAGGTGTAGCCATCGCTGGCAGGTGCCACATGTGCTCTGCCACGTCACAGGACGACCCCCGCGGCCCTGTGGTTAGGGCTGGGCTTGGGGTGCCTGCGCTGTTGGCTCTGCATTCTTTCCTGCTTCCGGTTACAGCCCACCCTGGGAGGTCACAGAGCATGGCCTCAGTCTGGGTTCCCTGGTACTGGTAAGGTGGGTTCCAGGTGTCCAGTTTCTGCCCCGGGTCTCCACTGGGAAGTGAACCAGTGGACAGGAGACTTCTGTTTCTCTGCCTTCTAAATAAATAAAAGAGACAGCTCTTCCATTGGCAGGTACACTCCTCAAATGGCTGCCAGGACTGAGCCCGCAGAAGCCAGGAACCAGGAGTTTCTTCCCAGTTCCCCACGTGGGTAGCAGGGGCTTAAGCACTTGCACTATCTTCCTCTGCTTTTTCGAGACACATTAGCAGGCAGCTGCATGAAAAGTGGATTTTTGGCAGTCCAACCTGTACCCACACAGAATGCTGGCTTTGCAGATGGCGGTTTTACCAGCTATGTTACAACCACGACCTCTAAGTGAGGTTCCTATCACTGTTCTATACTGTCTGCCCAGGTGTAGACAGAATTATCGGCTTGGCAGACGCTTCCCGGGCAGTTAAGAGATATTGAGAAAGAACCCAGGAATTCATGCACATGAATAAACTGGTGAAAGCATACTACTCTATTTCTAGATTTATTTTGCGATTTTTTTTTCCTCGTTAGTAAAGGTGATGATGAGGTTCTTTCAGCACCAGTCGGTTAAAGTTATCTGGACGGAAGCTTCCCACGCCAAAACCTCAAAAACAGGACAAACCAAGAAGTAATTCTAGTTTTCTGGCATCCTTGCCTCAAAAATCAAGGATCCAGGGTACCGCTATAAGATGGTTCTCATTCTCATTTGCTGGGATTTCTTTTCAGGGATACGATTTGCTTTGGTGTTGGAGGCCGTCTAGCCGCAAAGTGAGAACGGGTGAATGCCCGTATTTTCTGGGCGAGATACTGAGTTCACCTCCTTTCCCGCCCCCTCCCCCAGTGTGAAAAGGTGCAGGATCCGCTAAGCCCTGCGTCGCACAGCGGCGGCCGGAGCAGACGCGGCGCGGTCACTGGTCCCCGACACAGCGGAGCGGCACAGCCAGAGAGCCCGCGAAGGTAGGAGTCAGCAAGTGGAGGCCCCGAGCCGGGTGTGGAGACAGCAGAGGGCCAGGCTGGAGCGGGAGGAAGCTGCCCACTGCAGGTGAGGAAGGGGCCAAGCTCAGGCCCTCTCTTAGCAGCCGACCCCGTGAGGAGCCGGGCAGGAGACCAGAGGCGGCCGGAGACGGATGCGCCCGCCGCCGCGCCCTCTCCAGCCCGGGCTCGCACAGGCTCCGGGGCCCGCGCGGCCGCCAGGGGGCGGGAGCGACGTCGCCAACAATGGCCGCGCTCGGGCGGGAGGCGGGGCGGAGGGCGGGCGCGCGCGCGCGTGCCGGGCGCGGGAGCGGCTGCGCAGGCGGGGGCGCGCGGCGCGAGCCCGGGAGGGCGCGGCGGGAGCGCAGGGGAGGCGGGCGGAGGCGGGGGGCGGGGAGCCCGAGGGGTGGAAGCCGGCGGCGGCGGCGGCGGCGGCGGCGGCCGAGCGGGGTCAGTTCTCTGGAGCGTTTGCCAATGTTGGAGCCGTCTGCTAAGTGTGCCCGGCGAGGAGGTAAATACCCTCTGGTGGGGGGCGCGCGGGAGGCCCTGACTTCCGCCCGGTCGGCGGAGGAGGCAGAGGGCGCCGAGAGGTCCGCGGCGCCGCGAACCCCCGGCCAGAGCGGCCCCCTCGGCCGCCTCCCCTCCCCCGCGCCATCCCTCCCTCCTGGGGCTCCCTCGGGCCGGGGGGGAGGGGAGGTGTAGGGGGCAGGGCTGCCGGGGAGGAGGCGGAGGGATGGGGGGCGGGTGTGTGTGTGTGTGTGCAGGGGGTGGGTCAACACAGGTGTCCTGAGGGGAGGAACCGAGAGGAATGCGAAGAGCCTGGCCCTGTTGGGGTGCCCTGGTGGGCCGGCAGCAGGGTGCGTGCGTGCGTGTGTCGGGGGCTCGGGATCGCGGTGGGTGGGACTCGCCTAGCGGCGGTGTGGGAGACGGAGGCCCTGGGGTGTGCGGGCAGTGGGCCTGGGGGCGCGGGAGGCGGGGCTGCGGGGCTGGGCGGGCCGGCTATTTCTGTAGAATGGGCAAGTGGTAAAGACGTAACTTACGCCGGAATGGGGAAGGTAGGTGGGGCCGAGGGGACAAAATATATCCTATGACAGGCAAGTTGTCGCTGTGTCTCTCACCAACTACTACTGTGATGGCTCGGCTTAAAGGGGTAGTTGGCAGCGGTGACCTTGCCGGGGCGAAGGGACTTGGGCTCCGTTACAGAACGCACCCTGCGAGGCCAGGGACTTGGGCTGTTCGGGGGGCCGGCCGGGGGCTGCGCCGAGGGGAGTGTTCCGCAGAGGTGGTCGTGCAGGGCGTGGAGCTGGGATTCCTGCGCCGGGGCAGGGCCTAATGGCCGCGGGGGTTCTGAAAGCCCCTGGAAGTGTGTGCAGCGTTTTGCATTTGCGATTGACTTTCCTTGAAAGGGGACCGCATTTGTCGTGGTGTACCCCACCTTTCATTAAAAAAAAAAAAAATTAAACTACTTGGGTAGAGAAGGGTGGACCTGCCTGGTATTTGGTAAAGGGTGTTTCAAAGTGGTGAATCTTGCAGAAAGGGTGGAAACGATCCTTTAAATGTATTTCACTGTTGATTGAAAAGCTTCAATATTCAGTATGTGACAGCTGACTTCGTAATTCTGGTGAAGTTTTTCTGAGTATACGGCCTTCTCTTGCATGATTACAGGGTAGAATCAGAGTATAACCATTTGAAGTCAGAATTGTGATGGGCAGGCAGCAAAAGAAAAGATGGCAACATTTTCCTAGCACTGTATTTCGAACCTAGCTTTGCTTTCCTGAGATGACTCAAAGACAAAATTGTGACTTGTGCTGCAGTGGGAAAAAAATCGTACTTAATAAAACCTTCAGAACCCAGACTTGCATCTTGGCTGTATTGCAATAAAGCAAGTTTTTCAGTGTTCTTTTAGTGTAAACCAGAGGTGTCACGTAACACTTGAATTGTAGATTGGCTGCACTTTGCCGCAGGCCTGTATTAGATTTGTGAAGCAGTTATGCCAAGCTATGTGGTGCATGTGTTTTTTTTGTTCTTTTTTTGCTATGCTTTGGTTTCAGCTGAAGTCACCATTGCCTCATTTCACTGCCTACTTATGTAGTTTGAAGTTTACTAAGTGATGATTAGTTGGTAGGCTGTGTGCATACTTCCTTGGCTTTCACTCTACCTCCTTGAAAAAGCAGGTTTTCCTATTTGTGAAATTTACTGTATAATCCAGGTATGTGTTGTTCATTTCAGGTAGCATGTGTGATTTCAGAATTTTAATTTTTTTATTTGAAATCATTTCATTTCAAGCTTATAGAATAGCCTGAATAAATTCTTGTAGCCTTTATTCACTTGTTATCAATTTGCTTAGTTTTCATTGGTCCACTGTTGGACAATTGAAGGATAACTTAAATGCCAAGGTTGTTTGCTCCCCAAATTGTCAGCATGGAATGTGGTGTAAAATTTACATTTGAGCTTACTTTGCTTGCCTGGAATGAAGTTAGTCTGCTTTTCAAGGAAGAGCATGGAGGTGGGCGTTTGGCACGGTGGGGTAGACACCTGCATGCAATGCAAGAGTGTAGGCTTCTCTCTGATTGCAGCTTCTCCTTAGTGTGCTCCCTGGGAGGCAGCAGGCGATGGCCTAAGACTTGACTCCCACATGGGAGAACTGGAGTGAGATCCAGGCTCTGGGCTTGACCTGACCCAGCCCTAGCTGTTGCCAGCTTTTGGGGAGTGAATCAGTGGATGGTAGAAATCTATTTGGGCTTTCCAAATGTACAAATTTTAAAAATTACGAATACTGCAAATCAGAGTTGTTAAGCTTTTAAACAAGTTAAGTAAGAAAAGTTAGGTGATTTTCCTGTTTAAGCACTAAAGATGTGGTTGGCCAAAATGCTTTTTTTTTTTTTTCCCATTTTCCTGATTTACTCATTCATTCCCCCGATGACCGCAACTGGAGTTGAGCCTATCTGAAGCCAGAAAATTCCTCTGGGTCTCCCATATGGGTGCAGGGGCCCAAGGATTTGAGCCACCCTCTGCTCCTTTCTTAGGTCACAAGCAGGGACCTGGATCAGAAGTGGAGCAGTATCCATATGGTGATGGATACTGCAGCCAGTGCTGCAGACAGAGGCCTAGCCTGCTATCCCAGGGTGCTGGCCCCATTCTTCATTCATATAACCTTTAGTAAATTTTGAGTGCTGGATATCTGATTGTGTACAGGTCGTAATAAAGATGGAAAATGTAGACAGCAAAACTGAGTTTTCTGTTAACAGGTTGTATTTTGTAGTTTGAGACATGCATAATATGACCAGTCACATAGAGATCCTCTGTGTGTTTTAGGAATTCAAGAAAATGTTAGACACCAGTATCCCTGGCCTGCGACACCAGTATCCCAATCAGACTGGCTGCTCAATCCTAGCTGCACTGCTTCTGATTGCCTTAGTTTTAGAACTTAGTAATTGGAACTCTCTGTTAATGTGCTTGGGAAAGTTGTGAGTGATGGCCTGAGCTGCCAGAGCCTCTGCCACCCGTGTGGGAGACCGGAATGGAGCTGCTGGGTCCTGGCTTCAGCTGACCACGTACCAGCTGTTGTGGCCTGTTGGGCAATGCAGCAGAGGGTGGGATAGCTTTCTGTATCTCTCCTTTTCTATCATTCTGCCTTTCAAATAAATCTTAAAAAAAAAAAAAGGATGCTGGAAGTGACAGAGTCTTGAATGTCTTTAAAAGCAGAGATTAACTGTTTTTTAAAAATTTCATTTTAGTTTTAATGTTTACATGGTTGACAGGGGTGCACACCCATCTGGGTCTCTGATTAGGGGCAGGAGAGGGGAGGGTGAGGTGTGGAGGAAGATGGGTGGGACAGATGTTTCAGTAATGTTTTTTCTTTTCTTTCCTGGGGCCATAGGGGTGGGCAAGGGAGGAAGCCACTCCTTGCTGTCAAACTACATTGGCATGTGGGGGGAGGACAGTCATTTGATGACACTTTAGAGACCTGGATGTGGGGAAGAATGTTCTGAAGGTGGTACTTGAGTGGTTTTGATAGTTCTGAGACATCATTGGCTTCATTGCAGCGGAACTGAAAAAAATCTTTCCAAGGTCTGTTGGCTGACCAAGTCTACTGTAGTATACCCACAGACACAGACACTTGATTCCAGGCTTGGCCAGGAGAGTGGTCCAACCTGTTGTGTCTTCCATCCTCTGGTAAGGCACTCAGCATTCTCTGCTAGTCCAGGTGAGCTGGCCGCCATGTCCCCCGTGTGCATCTGAGCGTGATGTCCACTGCACGGTTAGTTGAGGAGACCCAGTCCTGATACCTGGTCTCCAAGGTTGTACCACAAATCTTGTGATTTTCACTGTGGTTAGGGTTTGAGCCCAGTGTTCTAGTTGGGAAGTCACCCAAGAAAACATGCCTGGGGTGACCTCAGACTTCATTATTGTGTGTGCCAGCTAATGCAGGGTTAGATTCAAGATTCACCTGCACAGCCAGTACACATACCAGTAGATGCAGTTGCCTGGTCAGTTCTGCCCCTAACCCCATCCTACAGAGGGTTAACTTTAAAAGCAAGGAATGTTAGATGAGACCTTAGCATCCGTAACAGTTATTATTTATATACATGTATGTATCACTGTTTGAATAATTACCTGAAGTTGAGGTGCCTTGTCATTTTTTCTGTCTAAATCTTAAGTCTTTGTGATAGGAAACTTTTTATGGAGGCAAGTCATAGTGCTAAGAAATTTTTATTTTTTTTAACATCTAATAAGATTTGTTTATTTACTTGAAAGGAAGAATTATAGAGACTGAGTGCGAGAGAGAATGAGAGAGAGAGTGAGAGCAAGAGAGAGCTTCCATCCTCAGCTGCAACGGCTGAAGCTGGAGGCCAGGAGCTTCTTCTGGGTCTCTCCGCTGGGTACTTGGACCCCAGCACTTGGGCTATTTTCTGCTGCTTTCCTAGGCACATTGGCAAGGAGCTAGGACTCAAACCAGCACCCATGTTCCCATGCCAACACCCCAGGTGGCAGCTTTACCTTCTATTCCACAGTGCCAGATGGCAGGTATTTTAATTTAGATACAGTGAAGACAAGAGGATTTTGAAAACAGAATAACCTGAGTTTTAATCCTAGCAGTGTGTCCCAACCCCTAGAAAAATGGGTGTAGATGATATCTACATCCTGATGCAGCAAGAATTAAATGAGTTAATGTAAAAATGATATAAAATTTGTAAGTTTTGTTTTGATAACTGTTCGTTTCCTTATTTTTCTAGACCACTAATAAGGAGAGTTTTCCATTGAGTAGTTTGGAATTAAGAGTTTGTGTTCTTAGGATGTTTCATAGATTCAGAAATTTTTACTGAAATCTTTAAAAAACCTTCTTTGGGGGTTAGAATGAAAGACATTTAAAATATATATATTTTTTGTAGGAAGCGTTGAATTGATACTTCAGGTTTTTACAGTTTTTTTGTTTGAGTGGCAGAGTGAGACAAGATAGGACTCCCATTCTCTGATTTACTCCCCAAATGCCCTCAGCCCCCAGGAGTG